CCCTTAAGACCCCCTTAAGGGGGTGATCCTTAAGCCCCCCCTTGAACGAATTCTGACCTATGTCTCGAAATAAGCCTTGTAGCCAACACAGAGTGGGAGCTGACACCCTCCCCAGAGAAAGAGCAAGCTTGGAGGAGCAAACAAGAAAGACATCAGGGAAGCACTCGCAGGAAAAGCTGAGGTTAGAGGACTCTTGGCAATGCGAGGATGGCGAGACCTGCCAATTTCTGCGTTCTGTAGGGCTTCAAAGTTTGGAGGAGAATCTGTTAAGGCACTCTTTGGGGGAGAATCTGCAAGCAAACATGTGGTAGAGCTGTGCAAGAGATTGTAGGGTGACTACAGGTTTAGGAGTCTTGGCAGTGCGACAGTTTCGGGAAAGATTTGCCGCGGAGCTTTGAGAAGGATCTATAACGAGACGTGCAGGGAGCGAATGCCCGAATTAGCGCAAATGATTGTATGTGAAAAGAGAAAGAAATGTTTGTGTCACAAAAGAATTAGGGTTTTCATCGAGCACAGCAGCAGTTAGTTGTTGACAGTCTTCTTGTTGCATATTCAGAAACCTTCCCCCGCCCCTCAATTTCAATGTGTGCCGCAATGCTGCCGTAAGTCACTGGCCGCCTCTGTGTCAACATTGAATTTGGGCGGAGCGGGAGTCTGGAAGGTACAAACAAAACCAAAACTTGCACTGTTGCGCGAGGCCGTTTTCAGTGTCCGAAAACCACGAAAACTGCAGGACACATCAAGATACCCCCAATAGTATTCGGCGGGGGAGGAACCGGTGTTCTGGAGGTTCCGTCCTTTGCTAAATTCCCCAACAGCTTGTCCCAAAAATTGCGAACTGGAATTTACCAATAGCTTGCGAGATTTCACAAAGTAGAAGACCCAATCCAGTTTCGGCAAGAAGGGGCTTGCAGGCGCCCCAAACCCCCTCGCTCTCTTTATCAGCCTTGCCACAGTACGTAAAAGGTTGGAGCGGGTTTCAGTAAGCAGAATCGGAGGGAAAATACAGGATATGAGGGCGCGTTTATGAATCTGAATCGTCAAATGGAGGTGTGTTTAAGATGTGTGATGAACCTGAACCTGGATAATGAGGGGCGTGTTTACGATGGAGGATGAACCGGCTCCAAGGGGGAGGGGCGTGTTTAAGGTGCATGAAGAGCCGGAATCGCCACGTGAGGAACGCGTTTAAGATATGTTATGATGAACTGGAAGCGCCATAAAGAGGGGGGGTGTTTAAGAAAGATATGAGGAACCAGAATCGCCACATGAAGGGGCGTGTTTAAGATGTAGAGCGCTGCAAATTGCAATGCGCCAATTGGTTGATGCAAAACATGAGCGAATGTTTTTACAATTTACAGTATGTGCAACCAAAAAGGAGAGCCAACGCCAACGTTAGCAAAGGACACCGGGCACCGCCAGCGTTAGGAAAAAAAACCCTCCGCCTTTGTTCCGATTGGCACTTAGTGGCATGTATTTGGTTTTTATGTTCTGGCTGGCTTCAACCTGAAGCTTGATGAAAAGCTTGGCTACATGATTGTGTCGGACTGTCAAGTTGTATTCAGTGACTTTTTATAAATGGGGAAGATAGTCTTTTAGTCCTGTCAAATGGAGCGTGGTTCGGCCCTTATAGACGCCATCAAAACACGAGTTCTCCGCAGCAATTTGCGTTGTAAGAAGTCAGGAGTGACAGAAGAAGTGCCTACGTACCTGAATTGTCCGAGCATAAAGCTATGTATGGTTTGCATGGTGGTTCAGAGTCAACGTAAGTTTAGTGGCAAATCATGCGCACTATTCTCAGACAAGTAACCGTTGAAAGAAAACAGACGTGCAAGTCCAACACCCATTCCCAACACTTTGGAAACGTATAAAGAGACACTGCGACTTTCGGTTTTCGTGCTGTGACCGAGCATGCCGCGGGCTCCAAAGAAGAAGGTCAGAATCAGTGCAGGTGTCAAGTTTAGCGACTTTGGGCATACTGTTTGCATGTTGGTTTGGGGTGCTGGCTTGGGTCAAGAGCATTTCCAGCATAACTTGTATAGGCACAGCTATTGGGATCAAGGTGAAAGGTGTAGAGTGTAAGGTCCTTAGGTTTGGCATTCAAAGTTTCGATGTTGACAGAAGTTTGGCTTCGGCATGAAAAGGGCCAATTTGCACTTGTGTTATGATGAAGTTTCGACAGCAAGGTTGGATCCATACTCGGAGGTTTGGTTACTGTGTCTGCAAACAGCTGAAGGCACGGGGTTGGCGTGTTTCACAAAGGCATAGGGTTGTGATGGGATGAGGTATCATACTGTTCAAAGTTGTTGGAAACCCATTTCGAGACCTGCCCTGCAATGCACACGTGCTAACTGCGAAACATGTTTTCAACATGCCCGTGTCGTTTTCCATGTTTGTTCGTTCTGCGGACACAGGTGAAGTTTGTGATCCCAGGACAAGATGGACATGTAGCAGTAGTCGCAAATCGTTAGATCACCAGCGACCACTTCATCATTCACCTTTGGGCTTTCACATAGTCGCCGGTGTTCCCAAGTGGGCAGATCGAGCAAAGTTTTCAAAAAGTTCTTCGAGGTTCGGAATGAATCAATGCCCGAAAAGGTGTCGACTCTGAGCTTTCGCTTCAATGCGATGCTATGCAAGACCGAGTTAAAGTATCCTCACGGAATTTCCGAGAACTATAGCAAGGCAACGAACAAGGAAACAGCTGTATGTATGTATGTATGTATGTATGTATGTATGTATGTATGTATGTATGTAATGTATGTATGTATGTATGTATGTATGTATGTATGTATGTATGTATGCGTGAGTATATGGATGTGTATGTCTGCGTGTGTGTATATATATATATAAATAGTACACAGGCGCTGAAGTTTTCAATCTCCAAGCTCGAGATGGACCGGCCAGGCAGCTGCCACTGATTCTGGGGAAAGCATGGTGTCGCCCAAGAAGAGGCGAGTACCGGCCCGACCCAAAGGCTGTTAATGGTTTAGGATTTATATAGTGATTATGGGTTGTGTGTACTTTGCTCAGAGAGTGCTGTGCTCAAGCAGCTTTGAGTCACTGCCGCCAGCACGTACCCTAAACCCTGAACTCTGAGCCCAAAAAATGTCTGAGAAGGGCTCGCTCCAACAAAATCGGTGTTGAGGATCAGAGATCAGGTATCACTTTGGATCATGTGTGCTGTCCACTGCTACTGCTATCCTACTGTTTCGGGTCTTTCTTGGTAGCTCGTACTCTCCCCGACATGCTGGCCTTACCCTAGCCTTAGGCCCATCCTTGGGGCCGAAGGCTAGCCATTCTGTTCTTCACTGTGTTCCCCAAAAAAGCGTAAGCCCCACCCCCTAAACTCTAGTTCCGACATATACGAAGGGGGAAGGCCGGTGTTGTGATGGCTTGCGGCAGGCCCAAGCGGAGTCGAAAAGCACCGAAAGCCAAGGGCAAGGCCGAACTCTGCGCGCTGACTTGAGGGCTTTAGGGTTGCGGGTTCAAGGGTTTTAGGATTGGAGTCTACGGTTTAGGGTTTAACAGCCTGTTTTTTCCATTGTGTTTTGCTCTCAGAGGTGCCGGTGCTGCTGCTGAGATCGTCATCATAGCGGCCATACTCACTTCTGCAAGTGTAGCTTTCTGCTGATTCTGATTCCCAAATCCTAAACCCCACCCAAGACCAAACCCTAGAACCTGCAAACAAAGGACCCTAAAAACCTTGAGTGTTAAGCAACAAGCCCTTTGCCTTTTCGAGGTGATGGCCAAGGCGTAAGATTCGACGCGCTCGGCACGAAAGCTTAAGCCCAAACCCAAAAGCCCAAAAAACCCTACCACGGGCCGGAATCTGCGAAGAGTCAAAGGCCCCCTTGCATTTAAAAGAAAACCGCTGGACCCGAAGCCTTCAGACCAATGCCCGAAGAAGGTGAGCTTCAAGCTTAAGCCATTATAGATAGTATTACTACTAGTACTACTATTACTATTAGTACGATTATTACTGCTATTACTATTATTACGATTATTAGTCCTCTTCTTCTGAGTACTATCATTACTATAAGCCTTATGCCATCATCCGCGCACTCTGATGCCGTAGGCCCCTAAACCCTAAACCCTAAACCCTAAACCCTAAACCCTAAACCCTAAACCCTAAACCCTAAACCCTAAACCCTAAACCCTAAACTAGGCCCTGAGCACTGGGGCCTTCAGTCCAAAGCCCTAAGCCCCGAGCCCTTCTACCCGAAGCCCCGAAGCCCTGAAAAGAGTACACGGCTTAGGGTTGAGGGTTTAGGGTTTAGGATTCAGGGTTTAGGGGGTTCAGGGTTTAGGTTTGTAGTTTTTCAGATCCCGTTGAAGGAACTCTAGGCCGAAACGGGCGCTGGTTTCGGTCGTTTCCGTCAGGCAGACAAGACATCTGCACCAGCTGACGCGGCCGAGGCCTCCGTTTTCTTTGTGCCCCAATTTCCTCTTTGTTGGGGTTTAGGGTTTAGAGTGTAATCGTTTATGGTTCCGGAGAGGAGGCAGCAGGCGATTCCGCTCCACTGCTGAAGCAATGGGGGAGGGGGGGCGGCCTTCCGCAGCCGTCGAGCCCATTGACAAGAATTCCGAGCATACAGAAGCGGCGAGTCAATTCCAACGGTGATGAAAAGATCGTGAAGTGGTAGAGATCTAGTACGAAGCAACAGCAATAACCGCAACAAGTGCATTGCTGAGTATCCTCAGGAAAACAGAGACGTGGCAGCCCGGGATGCGTAACAGGGGCACTGCTTGGGAGCCTGATGGAGCAACTCCAGCACTGAACAATATCCGCCCAAGGTCGCGAATGTGAATGTACTGGTGATGAAGGTGAAACATCATAATCATGAGTAAACCAATGATGATGACAGGTCCAGCCACTGCGGCAACGAGATGTGATCGAAAGCGGCAGCAGCAACAAAACACAGCTCTCTGCCGTAATGATTCCGGTCCAACCAAAAAGAATGAGCCTTCAGTCTCAAACCTGCTGTATAATCCTAACAAGTTCAAGGCCTTTCAACTCGAAACCTAATCCCTACGCCCTAAGCCCTAAACCCTAAAAGCTTCGCCATCATTCATCTTTTTTCAAAGCTGTGTGAGATGCAAAGCAGGCGCATGTTACCGACAGCACGCCTATGATGGACAACACGAGATTCTTAATGCCGAGCTCAACAAACATTGCAAGATAGAAGGTCGTTGTACTCGAGACACCTCTTCTCAAAAACGGTTGAGGTTGAATGGGCGTAGCATTGGATGCAATGCCCCTTGTACAGCAAGAATCATCATCGCCAAGACCGTCATCATCCCCATTTCCATATCCACCGCCATCGCCGGCACCTCATTACCATCATTACCGGCACGACCGCCCGTAGCTGCGAAACCGCAAACATCACAATCTCATCACCTTCACCACCCCCGGAACCACCAGCACCGGCACGTACTGCACCAGCTCCCAGCACCGGCACAACAGCGCCGGCACCACAGCACCAGCAGTGGCACAGGCGCCTCAGCCGCCGCCCTCATCATTACAGCGTAGCCACTACTGCCACCTCGGCTCTACCGGCACCGCGACACATGATGAAGGCGATGATGATGACGATCATCATCCTCCAAGCTACCTTCTTCAACAGGTGGATCATGAGCAAGACCTTTTTTGAGCGCCGATTGGCTCTTCGCCTTTCTGCTCAGTCCATCTCCGTGCCTTGCGGGTCCACATTACATATGAGGTGGTGGATGCCTCTGCTCTTTCCTTGTATTCTTTCAGCAGATGCACACATGTCCAGATCTCTGCAGCACCAAGTTCTGATTATCTATACCCGGAGAGCTATGATAAGGCTTACAGTCGGATAAGTCGACACAGCATCAACTCATGTCAGCGGCTGTTGCTGCGAGGACTTAGGGAGCTCTGGCTCTGGCCTATTCCTGTTTCTTAAGATTGTTCTTTAAATGCTACTGTAGCCCAAGCATTGTCCAATCGCTGCACCGATGCATATTGTCATCGCGCCTTGCAGAAGGAAGCACAGAAGGGGGTTTCGAAGTTGCCCTCTGCTCCCCAATCTTGTAATCTCATTTTTGCAAACAGAAGGGCTTCACAAGGTCATAGAAAGTCTGGAACTCCTAGCCGTGAGCCCTAAACCCGTAGAGTTATTGAGAAGGGAACTCCTTCGACCCTAAACCCTAAACCCTCAACCTAAATCCTAAACCCTAAATCGGGGCAGGGCCTCAGTGCCGCGGACATCTTCGCGACGCTGAGCGGCGAAACTGCAGAGGTCTGGTCTTGCTTCGGGGCCGTGACAATTGGAATAGGGTTCCTTACAGGGTTCCTGTAAGCTTATAAGGGTTCTGCGTCGTAGAGGGCCGTTTAGCATAGGGCTCGAACTAATTAGATTCAGGTTCTGGGGTACATGTTTGCACAAACTCTACCCAGGAACCCTAAGGAGTAAAATTCAGGGATGAGGGCAAGGGCTCGGAACCCGGAACCCCAAACCCAATACCGAAACCCCCGAACCCTATGAACCTGAAGCTCGAAATCCTTGGCCTTTGGGCCAAGCCAGGCCTGAATTTCGGTTTCGGATGGAGAATCCGCAGAGAGCCCTTTTCCTGCGACAGTCGGGCTTGAGGATTTAGGGGTTTAAGGTTTGGGGTTTAGGGGCTCAGGGGGTTTAGGGTTGAGGGTTTAGGGTACGGTCGTTGGTGGATCCGGCATGAACGCGGAAGATTAAAGCAGAGCCAGCGACGAGCACTGTGCGTTTCTATAATGTGTTGTATTTTCTTCCTATACTCACGTAGCAATACGAATCTTTCTTATATAACGTTAGGCTGACTTGTAACATATCTTGCAGTAT